AAATCTTTAAAAAAATAAAATTATAAAAGTCATAAGTGGTCCCTTCTTCTATGTAATGTACTCCTGTCTGTTGTAATAAAAATTTGTAATTCAGAGTCCCTGTCTCTGTGATGCTATGAAGAAGGGACACTCCCGGACACTCCCACTGGTGCATGAGAGCACCTTTTGTTCCTGGCTGGCCCGTCACCTGGGGGCATCGTGCTGTTTGGGTCTGATGGGAAAACCACGCAGATCTCTGTGCACGAGGAGGGTCTCGGTGTTGTAACACAGGACAAAATGCAGTCCTGTTTCCATCACAGAAGTACAGCCACTTACTGAAAAAGTCCAGGTTATGTACGGCTTTCAGTTAAACTCTGTGTGTGCACACCTGGGGTCTCCCATGAGACTGATGACTAAGGCTGAAGCTCCCAGCTGACGCCAAAATGTCAGGAGAGGGTTGCGTTGATAGAAGATCACCATTAAGCAGTTAGAAAAACAACTTCCATATTAACTCTAAGTCATAGAAGAAATGTATAACCTGAACTTAAGTGGGAGGAGACGAGAGCAGCCTAGGTTGAAACAAACACATTTTTCGAAGGGACAGGAGCACAGAGGGTCTGCTTCTGTCCCTTTGGTAAGTGACAGAGAGCCTGTGTATCCATCCGCGTGCTGCCTGAGGAGGCGACGCAGCTCCCCTGGAAGGCCACCGGCAGGTACGAATGGACTTCACTAATCTCGCAGCCCAAGCAAGTCATTTAACTCCGCCACCCGAGGCGGCATAGCTTCCATGGCCGGACTTTTAGGACAAATCTGAAAGCAAGACGATTATAAAAGCCACTTACATGAAACAAGAGAGACATGCAAACCGGGCATCTTCATTGGAAGGATGGGGGAGCTTGCAGGGCAGTGTTGCTTTGGAGATTTCGTGCCCTGCGGGGAGCCGGGCTGGACAACCTGCTCCTGGAAGGTTACGTTGTCACAACTAGAAACGTCGGTTCACCCTCGGCTTTGCAAACTGAGGGATGACGAACAAAGGTGGAAAGAAGTGGGAAGCACAGGGGGCACCGGACGCCCTGGAAGCAGGGAGGGCGGGGAGGGCGGGGACGGCTGCACAGGTTTTGCCGAATGAGATCATGGTGAGGATTTTTCTATTTTGTATGTTTTCACGTTTTGCATTTTTAAGGCATAAGAAGAGTAATACTGTAAAGTAACTACGCTTCCCCCTTGCGGAGGAGGACCCCCATGTCAGGGGGAGCCCCAGGTACCCGTGTTGGTCGGACAGAAAACACAAGTGTCGCTCTGGCTTGGCGCGCCCCTGGGTGTGAGGCCGAGTATTGTTATTCCTGAGCCGAGCGGAGGCCCCAGGAACTGCTCGGCCCCCTTGTGATGTGATTCTACAGGAAGCACTTAACAATACAGCCGTTCTGCCTTCAAGGGCTGTACTCGCCGATCCTGGCTCCAGTTTTTGCTGTTTGTTCAATCCATTACTTTCTATTCACACACTTGAGACTGTCCGGCGATAACCTTGAGTGGATGGAGCTCGCCAACCTGTGGATAACGAGGAGCCTGCAAGGCTGGATGGCAGATGGGGACCCGCTGGTTCACACGCCCCCTCAGGACAGTCTGGCTCTCGGCGCAGCTCACTTTCCCCTTTCGGTGGGAGGGCAACATTTTACACACAGTGCACACTCAAAGGATGTGGGTCCCATAGCTGAACGAAAATTTAAGCCCAGCATCTGGAAACGCACAACATGGCTACCTTCTACATGTTTGCACATATTTACAACCGCACATGCATGATCTGGAAGGCAGTAGCATCAGAAACCTCATTTTTTCTTTTTGTATCTGTCACTAGATGGGGCCCACGAATGTGTTTTGTCAAGTGATACGATCGATTTGTGAGCTGAGACCAAGCCCGGGTCCCACCTTTACAACCAGACAGAGCCTTACAGGTTCTCCTGCTTCAGTTCCTGGATTTTTAACGAGCCCCAAGGCCTAGGTCTCAGAGATCACATTATTTTCCAGGTCAAAGAGTGGGCGCAGAGCGTTTGGAGCTCCTTGAGTGTAAGTGATCACACAAAGTGCAGAAAAGTAGGGTCACAGTTGTTCGCGTGGAAAATAATACAACGATTAATACATGATAGCACAAGGGTAAGCTCTGTGCTCTGTGTCCCACAACTGGAAACCCACTTCCGTCCCAGCCGTGTATTGGCTAAGCAACACTATGAAAAAGGCAGATGAGATGGATGTCAATCTCTTTTTACATAAAGGCATTCTTTGTAAAGTACATACACAAATAAAATTCTGACCTCACTATCTGTTCTCTGCAATTTGCTTCAGGAGGCAGAAGCGGAATTGGGTGTGTCCTACTCATTCCCCGAGGCCAGCGTCACCTTGGCACCAAACCCAGACAGACACAGTACAGGAGAACAGAACCACAGGCCAACATCTCTCATGGACGCAGAGGCAAACCTCCTCATGAAGGTACTAGCAAGTCAAATCCAAAAAATACATAAAGAACTATACGCCATGGCCAAATGGGAGCCATCCGAGGTACATGAGGCTAATTCGACAGTCAAAAAAGAATTAATGCAAGCCATCACATCAACAGACTAAAAAAGCAAAACCCCGTGATGGTATCAGTAGATGCAGAAAAATAGGACAAAGTCTGACACTCATTCATGCTAAAAACCATCTGTGAATTAAGAACAGAGGGGACTTCCTCAGCCTGATAAACCCCACGTGACAGAGCTAAAGCTGCCGCGACCGTGCGGGAGGGAAAACGCAGCCCTCCTCTGCCGGGAGGTGCTAGGCAAGGACACCCCCCACCTCTGTGCAACGTGCCCAGGCCTTGCCGACGAAATGAGGTGAAAAAGGAAGTGAAGGTGCACAGATTGAAAAGAAAGATATGGAACCGTCCTTGTTCACAGACAACATGATCGTGGATGTGCAAAATACAAGTGTCCAACAACTTCCTGGAAACAATAAGTGATTATAGGAAGGTTGCCAGATACAAGGAAACATATTAAAAGTTAATTACTGTGAAAGTTTTCCATTCATCTCTCACAACAGAAGGTGCAAGTAAGTGAGAAATGGTAGAATATGATTAAAAATTCAAAGGATATTAATGAACAAAATAACTTCCTTTAGCAAACGGGCAAAGCCCAACCCTATGGACACAACACCGGAAAAGATGCCAGGTGGCCCCCTCAGACACGGCAGCCCCGTTCTCGCTAAAACGCTGCAGTGTTTCTGGAGACACGCTCAGCACTGCGCGGCAGAACCGGAACCTGCCCATTACCACTGACCTTCTCATTTCCACGGCCGAGCTCCTGGACTCGAAGCAACCAGTGAGTTCCGGCAAAGGATGAGGATATCAGTCTTCAGGTCATACACACTTTTTAAACTTTAGAAAGGGTCCCAATCACTAGCAATCAGAAATGCTTAAATAGCGTATTCCTGTATGATGAATCCTAAGAATCTATTTAAAAAATAACTTGTTTCCACAAAATAGTTCAGGACATGGGGAATTTATCATGACACTATGTCAACCAGAAAAGTCAGATACAAAACCACGCATCCAACTTGGCCGCGTGTAGCACTCGCCAGTTCCTTCCCTGACTTACCGGGAGAGTCAGCTGCTCTTCCCACACGTGGACAGTGCCCGCCATGCGCCACCCCTTGCCTGGCAGTGGGGGCTGAAATGCTGCGCTTTGGGCGATGGTGGGCTGCCCCTGCTTCAGCCAGAACTGCGTACGCGGCCAGAGAAAATTGTCTCACCTTTATGCCTTTTTGGAAGCAAGTTTGCTCAACGTGTGTTGTTAAGGATTTTAGCCAATAAGTTTTATTTAAACTTATTAAAGAACGAAAGTACCCTGTGAGGAGCATTAACGCCCACTGATCATGAAATCACAGTCTGTAGTGGCTTCAGAAGTTCACCCAGTACCGCCCGAAGGACAAAGAGACACACCCTGGAATGACCAGCGTGTGAAGCTGCTGACTCTGCTCAAAGTCTGCCTCCAAAAAGGTTCTTTGACTTCATTCATGTTGGTATTTCACTGAAGTTCTTTCTGATATCAGGGCTGAGGCCCCCACATGGCAGCATTCTTGTAGCCCACCTCAGAGAGTCTATAATAAAGCTAATTTCTTCTCCTATGTTCTACTCACAGAATTCTACTCACAACCATAGACTCTGAAGATTAAACAGTCCAGGTTCGTCCACCTTGCCCTTGCTTTCTGACACAGAATTCAAATCGAGCCCCTCCCCCCTTCATTGCTAACAGACCACAGGTGAAAACACAAGGCCAGACCCGGCCTCCACCTGGTTTCATCTGGCCCGGCGCCTTCTTTCTGCCTGGTGGGAGCGCCCAGCTCCTTGCCCCTCATTAAGGAATAGTTACATTTACACAGTCCTAAAGTTACATTCAGCCCTTTGAAGATAACCTGGGGCTGATGTGTCCCCGGGTGAAAATGAGTTTGACAACCTTGTAACAGACCATCTCCAAATTTTCTTTCATTGTATTCACCAAGATTAGAAATAGCCAAGTCCAAGGCCAGCTACGTGCTTTCATTTGGGGGGTATAAATGTACATACATGACGTGCCAATATAAATACAGAGAGATATGAGGGAGAACCGAAATGTATGGAAAAAACATTTTAAAAGATAAATTACAGGCCATATATTTCAAAACTAAATGGCGTTCACAAATATTCCATTCCTAACATTAGCATCAGGTTTACTTTAGACCTTACTGATAGTGATACACGTGTCTATATTTTAATAGCAACTAAGATACAGTACTTTGAGATACGAGCCATCTCCCTTACATCCTAGGATCCTGCTGGACTAGTGAGCAAGCTCAGGAGCTGGCCTTTGAGAGCTTTTCACATGAAACGCGCCCACGCCAGGCAGACAGCGTCAAAGCAAAGCAGACTCCCCTCGGGAAGGAGAAACCACTGGGACGTCCCACGCTCGCGGGAAAGCCCGACGCAGAGAGAGACGGTGTCTGCAGACCCTCACCTGACATCCACACATGTTATGCAGGTGATGTTCCGGCTGTTCGTCGTGATCAGGTTCAAAGCTACGGATGTGTCTTTGTCAGAGGTCGGGTGTGCTCCGCATTTAAAGAAAAACTCCTGCAAGATGGAGAAATACAATCAAAAACATGGACTGCACCTGGGCATTTTTCCTGGTCTAAGCGCTTCCACGGTAAACAGTCTCTTCGGGCAAGAGAAGAGGTCCCGCTGAGCAGGAGTTAGACACACAGAGCAGCGAATCTCTCCAGGGAGACTAATGACCTTGTCTCCGTGAGTTAGTCACGGGCTCCCTTGTAGGAGGGTCCGGGGGTTGGCTGGCCTCCCCTCCTTTTGCTCTTTGAGCCATGGGTCCAGGGACACCATGGGTCCCTGGTGCCCACGGTGACCAGTGAGTCTGGCAGAATGACTCCCTGCAGACGCAGGAGGAAGTCTGAAACAGCACCTTGAAAATGAGGACGGGGTCGGGGGGTGCCTGAGCCAGGAAATGATTGGCCCAAAGTCAAACAGCCCCAGGTGGGGCCAGGAGGTGACCCAGGCTCTCTAACGGGACCCCAACGCTATTTTTAACAGCGTCTCTACACTGTCGGCCACTTAGCAGTGAGAACACAGGGCAGGAGTGAACCGAGGCATGGCCGCTCCCAGGAAGCACGCGGTGTGTGCCGACTTACCGACCGCACGGCGGACCTGCCCCAGCCTCCTTCAGAGCCCGCACCTGTGTCTGCTTGCTCAGATCCCAGAATTCCCCGGGAGGCAGGCCCCACCCCGACTCCGGGCGGCTGGGGCGCTGCGACCTGCCCCTCTGGCCTTGTGACTGCAGTTCCCCAGGTTTGCCCTGCGCACACGCCTTTGTTTTAGTTTTTCACACAAGTCACATTCTTTGGATGGAAAATATCCTCGCTTCTCAACCAAAAGTTTCTCTTTACATTCCTTCCCTCTGCTGTTTCTATGGTTGTTCGCAGAGGTGTTGGGCCACGAATCGCCCTGCTTCCCATCAGTCTCCGCCTGGTCCAGGAGGTTAACACCCAGCAGCTGAACGTTCTGTGCTGATAAAAACTCGAGGCAAACAGATCACAGGCTGGCGCGAGAACGCTGGCACCCCCTGCTCCCCCCAGCTCCACTGGCGAATAGCAACTCGGAAACTGTTTGCCTTTAACCCCGGGGCCTGGTGTCAACCAACTTCCGTTACAGCTCCGAGCAGCCGCTGTTTTCTGTGCCGGGGCCCATGAGTTCCTAGTCGCTCAACTCTGCACTGTAGCTAGAAGGAGCCGTGGGCAACCTGCAGATGAGCGGACGCAGCTGCGTGCCAAGAACATTTTATAAAGACGTGTGGAAATTGGGCTTGGCCTGCAGGCTCCAGGTCGTCTGGGCCTACACCAGACCCTGAGATATTTGTGAAACGTCTTATTCATGCTTCTATCCTGGCAGGGGCTGGCATAGGGTGGACATGAGACATATTTCTTATGTGAAAAACCTATGGACTTGTTTCGTAAATGCTGTTGTCTTTTTATGCATTTGACGGCACCTCTCTTGATTGGTTCTTCCCCTACTTTAATCAAACTAACCTGACCTGCGGTGAGCAACACCTGGGAGTCTCGAACCCCAGTGCACCTCGGGAACACCTGGGGTGGGGGCGGGGGTGCTTACCAGACACTGTCGCCAGACTTTTGAGCTGCCCCAGGCTTTTGAGCCTGGTTCTGACATGGGGCCGGGGTTCGCATTTCTGACGGCTGCTCTGGGGTCGCCCCATCGGGAACTGACTCAGTGTTGAAGGGAGCACCTCTACCGCCTCGGTTAGGAGGCCGCAGCTGCAGCTGACCTCGCTCACCACATCTGAAAACAGCGCCACGTCTGCGGTAAAGTGTGTTTGTTCCTCCCTGCAGATCGGTATGTGCCCTTTGACAGAGAAGTGCCCCCGAGCCCGGTGTTGGAACCCAGGCTGTTCGTAGCTGTGTGTGTCTTACCATTCCCAGGTGACAGAGTCAGATAGCCCCTGTCCTCCCTGGGGTCAGTGGCATGGTCGCTGAGCCCCTGCCCGCCATCCGGAGCCCCTGGATGAGGGCGTGCCAACGGTCTGGCCACAGCCAACCGGCGGGAGGTGCGTTTGATGGGCAGCCGTCCGGGTGCCGGCGGAGTCGTGCCAGTGCCCCTGGCCTTTTCCTGCGGCAGCCAGCATGCACCTCCCGCTGACGGTGTTTTCTTCTTTCTAAACGTGGACTGCTCTCCTTCCCCCTCAGTCTTTTAAACGCCACAGATGCTTCCCAGGTTCGGAGGAAAAACGTAGGAGCAACCCCTGACAACTGAGAGAAGCTTGGAGGCCTCGACCGGCCCTTACGCACAGGGAGCCGGCTGTGGCTGCTTTTTGCCGACATGAAAAAAACCCTCACTCACAACGCAAAGTGATTTCTCCAAAGTAGCTGAGTCGGCTGGACTCTGGGGAAGGTCTTTCATACACAGATAAATACACAGTATTTATATTTTTTCTTAGCTTGCAGAAAGCTACTGGTAGACATTCAGCTAACAAATCACAAAGCGCTTGAACAACAGATAAAATTCAGCCAGATAAGAGCCCCAGTCCTTTATGGGGCAGGGGAGGGATGGCAGAGCGTTTACAGATTAGGGTATAAGAAGTTACAGATGTATGGAATTTTCCAGTAATCCATACCATGTGATAAAATCCACATAAAAATTGCTAACCTTGTACATTAAATACATACGTCTCGTCTGTGAATTTCAGCAGTATTGCCAGCAGTTTTTTTAATGAAAGGGGCTTTTCTATAGCACTGAGTGACTGGCAAGAGCTGAGGAGGGTCCCAGATTTTGCCCGGCTCGCAGAAGAGCAGGTGAGGGTGCCACAGGCTCCTGAGCGCTGCCACCAGACACCAGACGCCTGGGTCGGAGACAAAGGCGGAGGGACGTGTGGGCATCGTGACCGTGTGGAAGAGACTGTCAAGAATGGGGTTGCCGGGCGGCCTCTCGGGACGTGCAGGGACGCTCCCACCCGTGTTATGGTAACAGCTTTTCCTGCAGGCTAGTCACAGGGGGGTCCGTCCGCTCCTGTCCCGCACAGCCCGTGGGCCGGGGTGCCCCAAGTCTCCCCCACATTTCCAGTCTGCATCCAGAGCACTAGAACCACAGACTGAGGCAGAACGGAAGCAAGAGCCTGTGTAAACGGCTCTACCTCGGGCACCCCCGCTCCCTCACACAGGGCCGTCATCTTGGGTAACTGTCCCTGAGTGCTGCCTCTCCGTGTTTTGTTTCTCTTGACTGTTCAGATTTTAAAAAATCGAGGAAGCCACAGACAAAAAACGCCCCGCCTTGCTCTTGTTCTCGACATCACGGTAGGATCCAGTCATCAGGGGCCTGACGCCCTTGGGCCCCCGCAGGTGGCCCAGGGACCACGGACATGGGTGTGGCCTCGGGGCCAGGCTGCGGACACGGCATTCTGCTCTGTCCAGTGGGTACCACACCTGTCCAGGGGCTGTGGTTGTCCCCCCCGCCGTGGGAGCAGGAGGGGAACGTTCTCGTTCACTAGGGAAGACAGGTGTCAACGCTGGCTCCTTAACTGTGGGCAAATTCAGAGTCACCCCCCACCACTTACAAATGCCAGCTCGCAGATACAGTCGCCACCACAACCAAGCAAAGCCACCCGTTAAAGCAAATGAATTCCTCCACTGAACCCGTAGTTCCCACTGGCTGGCTCACCTCATCTGGACCTGGAGCCTCAATTCTGGGAGACTGTGCTTAGTTACTGAGCCAAAATCTGAGACAGGAATTAGCTAGTTTTAATTTTGTAATGGTAGTCTATTTCAAGAAATGAAAAAAAAAAAGCCCCAGAATAAGACCTTAACTGAATGCTTGCCTTTATAATGTGACCCCGATAAATGCTATGTAATACTTTCCTATTCAGTAGTACTGAACAGGAAATCTGAAATCCAACAGGGTGGTAGCTCTAAGTTCATAGCAATGTGCTCACGTTTTCACCGCTTCTGCAGACGAGGCTGGGTCCCCCCGCTGCCCTTGCTGGGTTCTGAGGTTTGGTCACAGCGTGCCTGTCCCGCCAGCACTGACCACAGAGGCCCGGCCCCTCACGGAATCAGACCCCCCCAAATCAGAGGAGACCAGTGGGACAGCCGGGAACAGTCCGGTTCCACGGCAGGTGGCCTTCCTGGAAGCCACCCTCTCTCCCCACCCAGCCCAGCCGCCTGCCTCCTGGCTCCTTGCCAGCGTCTCTAACCGGCAAAGGGGAGGATGCAAATGAGTGTGCAAACAAAAACACCGAGCAGCCAAACAGGAAAGTTAGATAAACATGAACAGTCCAGTTGTGTAAAACCTCAGAGAATCAGAAACTAATGTGAACTCCGAACCCAGACACTGTGTCCCGAACGACACAAAAAGACTCACAGCTGCCACCGGGAAGGCCCCACCTGTCCCAGGGCCGCCCAAGCCCGGAGCCTGTGGCATAGCCAGGAGCCGGCTCTTCACTCCGGGCCTTCCCTCAGCCAGTGCTCTGCTCCCTGTCACTTAACGACTTGGTGTTCGCCAAGTACGAAATTGTGTCCATCTTTATGAAGAGTTAAATTCCATGTTAGACCTCAGATCCTTCCTCATCCTCACACGGAAGGAAAAACACCCATCTCCCCATAAAGTGAAAAGGACACACAATTTTCACTAGAGGCTGCAGTGGGGTCTCCGGTTTGCATGACAAAAGCAACTGGCCACGGGCAGGAGCCAGGGTTGAGTTAAAGAAACAGGCCCCGCCAGGCAGCCCGGCCCATGGGGTTTAATGCCGGGGCCTAGTCGAAATGGTGGTGGAAACCCGGCAGGACCAACCGGGGACAGGCAGCCACCCGAGATCAGCAGAATTGGGGGCACCAATGCCTGGGGTGCGGAGATGGGGAGGGGGTGGCACAGCCCCTGCTTAAAGGCTGGGCTGACCGGTGGGACCCGAGGGATGGATGGGTCACAGTCACGGACAGAGACGCCTCCTGACAGAAGGGGGAACACCCTGGCGTTGCCTTCTCCCCACCCTCACGGGCCCCCAGCCCCCCAGCCTGAAGCAAGGGTTGGGTGGGGGTTTGGGAGCTGGTGTTTGCTGTGTG